CTATTACGACTCTTTTACATTATTCCGACTTTATCAATTAGCGATCAAGATATCAAATTATGGCATTTGCATTTACGATAATTATGGAACTCGAATTCAATTAATCACCGAGTATAAACACGTGACCTCCGAAATTAAACTCCACCGACAACTTGTAATACTTTCATGCCACTTTTGTAGTTTAAAACTCGCTTGAAATAAATCTCACGTAAAACAATAGTTGAAATTATAGCATACACTATATAGAATAACGACAACCACTTGCTAAGATTAAAGGAAGGAAAACGAAAACAATACCCTTCCCCCATTACTAAAGAGTGGTCAGCTTGCAATGAGCTTGACAAAGTATGGCAATCTCCATATGGACATCAAGATCAATTTGTTTTAGAGCCACAGTTGAGCCGATTCTCATGTATGGTTCTGAAACATKGACCCTTACAGGAAAAYAACAGAAACGTCTTGACGGCACTTACACCAGCTTGCTGCGTAGGTTTAAAAATATATCTTGGAAGGATCATGCCACCCTCCATCAGGTTTATGCTAAGCTTCCAATAACAACTGACAAACTAATTCAGAGAAGAGACCAGTTCGCCGAACACTGTTTCCGCGCAAAAAATGAAGTCATTTCATCTATGCTTCTCTGGAAAGCTCCATATCCAAACCACTCCTCCCGTCTTACCTACACCCTCAGGTGTTATCTAGGGATACCAAGATAGACATTAGAGATCTTCTGACCGTGGTGTGTGGAAATCTGTTATGCACTCACTCCCGGTCGAGGCGGCAGGATGATGATGATGATAATCATTATAGATCCCACTAGTTAGGTAGTTCTTATAGTATTCGTCATTTCCCYCATAATGAATTCCAGGGGTTTGAAAATAACTTCTCAATAAATAATAMCTTGGTCAGATTTCCAGGTCACTTGAACGACGCTCAAACTTATAGAATGATCCCGTCCATTGGTCCATTGTAGACTTCCCAGRCAATATCGCATAGGTGCTGACAAAGGATATGTTGCAAGGAAACTAATCATTAGGGCTCGTCGTGCCAGAAAGAGATGAACTATAGATGCCTTAGCACATATAATCAACTGTTCATTAAAGTCTGGCCGTGTTCCCTTGGACTTCAAAGCGGCAAGAGTAATTTCCCTATTTAAGAAGGGCTGCGGACTGCGGACATGGACAATTATCGTCCAATTTCAATTTTACCAGCTGTTTCCAAAATATTGGAACGGGCTGTTCTCCAGCAGCTTTATCTCTATCTAAGTGAGCATGACATCCTAAGTCCCTACCAATGTGGATTTCGAAAATGTCGCTCTACCGAATTTGCGAATTTGCTGCTGTCTCTCCTTTGCAGACACCATAAGAAGAAATAGGTTGGGAAAAAAAACAGAAGAAGGCTACTTGGAGCCAATTTGGTGCAATGGCCAGTTCTACCACCATCCCTAGCCGACCTCATCGAAGCTATTTGTGAAGAGTAAGATGAATCAGAGAGTGAATTAGATGACGAAGAAATTGATTTTGAGCTCCTTAGTGATGATGATGAATAAAATCAAATTCTGCTTTTCAGATAATAGGTTCCAATTTTTTTTTCTACACCAAATCCATTTTGATGACTTCTGATATACGA